ACTGCGCATTTATCTAAAAGAAAAATGCAAAGTGACTTAGAACAGGGGTCCCCACCCCCGGGCTGCAGACAGGTATCAGCTGTGGCCTGTTAGGAACCTGGCTGCACAGCGGGAAGTTATCAGCAGGCTGGTGAGTGAAGCTTCATCCAAGCTTCATCCGTATTTGCAGCCGCCCCCAGCACTAGCATCACTGCCTCAGCTCCACCTCAGATCATTAGGCATTAGATTCTCATGGGAGCACCGGTCCCTGGTGCCAAGAAGGTTGGGGACCGCTGACTTAGAAGAGCCACTTGAAGAGCCTGCTGTTTTTCAACCAGCAGAGATTTAATTCCTTGAATGGGAGAATTGTTTGTTGTTTGTGTTCGATTTTGTTTTGCTTTTCATCAGGCAAAAACAGGTGCTTGCGAGCAAGCCGAATCCAGTTCCAGAGAAAGGAAGAAAACTACCTTTCTGCCTCCCTCAGTGGTATAGGTGAAGGAACCCAGCTAAGGAAACTGGCCTCACGCCATATAGGGTCCAGGCATTCTCTCTTTTCATCTAAGTCCCAGCTTCGCTGGGTCTTCGCGTGATTAAAGAGATAACACCTGCGAAACCGTCTGAGCGACGGTGCTCCGCTTCTTCCATTTTGTAGAAAACAGATGCTTAGAGAAGTGGCCTGACCGAGTGCACACGAGTAATGATAATACGCAGCGTTAAAAACACACGAGGTACGCTGACTCCCGATCCAACGCAGCAATACTGCCTGCCCTCTCTGTTCACTCGCTCATTCATTCATTCACCCATTACGTGGCCCAGGCGTTCTGCTAGGCACAATTATTCTCACGGAACGTGCAGTGAAAGGGCGATCTGAGGCAAGAAAACCTAATTATGGTAATCACGGTATTACGTGATTAGCGACACGATAGGGGAAGCGGAGGTTGCTGTGAAAGCACCCAGAGGGGCACCTGAGCCCCGACAGGAGGCAGAAGGGGAGGACTTACAGGAGGAGGAAGCTTCTGAGCTGAGATGTGAAGCTGGAGAAGGAAGCAAAGTGAAAGCGGGAAGGGAGGACAGGAAAGAGAATTGCAGGAAGGGAGAACCACGTGAGCAAAGGCCTAGAATTAAGAAACTCTATTTACGTAACCCGAAACTCCATGACGAGTAGGAAGACAGGTATTTAATAATAACGGTAAGAACAATGCTAGAAATTACTGAGCCTACTTATAGGATAAACATATACCAAGAGGCCTACGGAAAAGCCAGAGAGGTAGACAGATGACACGGCACTAAGAAAGGCCAGGGGAGCGAGTATTTCAAGGGGAAGGAAGTGGCCGCCGTGTTCCAGTGCCACTCACAGGTCCCGCTAGATACAGCGTGAGAAGTGGTCATTAGATTCAGTGACGAGATTCGGCAACCCCCAGCAGGAACAGGCTTAGCGGTGTGATGGGGGCCTCAGCCATCCTGTGGTAAATACAGTGGAGAGTGGGGGGGGAGAGGAAGCAGAAAGAATTCATTTCAAAGTCTCTTGCAAGAAGGGAAGAAAAAGATCAGACAGCACAGCAGGAAGGAAGTCGCAGGTGAGAAAAGAGGGTTTTTTATTCTTTTGGGTTGTTTGGGTTTTGGGTTTTCTTTCTTTCTTTCTTTCTTTCTTTCTTTCTTTCTTTCTTTCTTTCTTTCTTTCTTTCTTTCTTTCTTTCTTTTCTCTCTCTCTCTCTCTCTCTCTCTCTCTTTCTTTCTTTTTCTTTCTTTTTTGTAAGACAGTCTTGAGTATGTTTAAATGTTGATCTAGTCAGAAAAGACCTGTCGAGCAGCATTGACGTTAAAGGAAAGTGTTTACTTGACAAAATGTTGCCCCTAGGAAGACAGAACAGAATTATGGTGGAGGGCAAGAGGCGAGGCTGCGTGTGAATGCAGGGAATTTTCTAGTTTGGGTGCATGAAAAAGGAGTTCCTATCCCATGTCAGCTGGAGAGGGTGTAGGACCAAGGGGTAGCAGGGTTTTAGTTTTATTGATTTATTTAGGATCTGGGGCAGGGAGTTTTATTTATTTCCCACACGCCATGTTTTCTGCTGGGAATTTCACAGACACCAGCTCAATTTCTTTTCACAACGCTGATCCGTAGATAGTATCGCTCTCATTTTCCACAGGAAGAAACGAAAGCTTACAGAAGTTGGAGAAATTTCCCAGGCGCAGAGCTGGCGAGAAGAGCCAAGTTTCCCTACTGGGTCCATCTGATGCCAGAGCAAGAAATTTCCGTAGCTTCTGACAAATGTTTCAGCAAGAGCAAAGGAAGAGAGAGAGTAAAGATGCGAAAAATAGGATCTAGGAAAGGCAAATTCTAGAGAAGGAGGGAGAGGGGTCAAGAAGTGGAAGAACTTGTCTTCCTTAAAATCAAAAGGAGAGAAAAAGAAAGGGGGGTGGAAGACAATAGAGAGAGATGGTCAGGGAAGGGATGTATTGGAGGTGAACAGCAAGTCGAACGGCCTTGACCTTCTTTATAAATTTGGGGTGCAGGCCGTCTGCCTCCACGTGCTAGGTTTTGGGGATATGGTATGAGTAAACCAGATGAAGTCGCCGCCTCACAGAACTAGCAAGGTAATCTAGTGTAACAGACAGTAGCAATCATTTAAAATGATGTATCGAATAATCACATGTGCAGTGTGTGCTGTAGTGGGGACACATGTAAGAATGGAAAGAGTTTGGAGCAGCTACTTTGGAAAAATTAATAAGAAGGTAGGAAAAGGGCAAACAATTATAAGGATGTAGATTTTAGTTCCTGGGGAGGGTTATGACACACCAGGAAGGGAGCAAGAACTTTTAGTTTTGGGGTACACCCATCATTCAAAGAGAAGAGCACCAGTTCCAGGCTAGTAAATATACCTTGAACTTGGAGAAGAGCAAGGATTTAGGACCTGGCAGATGTAGGACAAAGAAGAAGGGGAGAAGGATAAACAGGAGGTTCAAAAAAACGTTGAAGGGAGAAATTTTAAAAACAACCACCACAGGCATTTAGTGACCGCTTACTTTGGGCCAGGCACCGCACCAAATGCTTTCTGAACCTTATTGCATTTGCTCCTCACAGCAAAGTGATAGCATTGGTCCTGATATTTTTGCCATTTCGTGGAGAGAAAAATGGAGCTCAGAGAAGTTAAGCAACGTGCCCAAGGTCACACAGGTAGTGAGTGGCAAGGACGCCAAACTACGAAGCCAACATTCTTATGCGAGACGGCGGTCCAGTCTCTGCACAATGGCAGGGCCCACTGGATGCACGCTGGAGTGGAGGGAGCGACTGCCAGCACAGCGCCAGACGAGGAGGCCATGAGTAACACCATGGAGGGTGATGTTTCTAGGAATGATGACAACAGATGGATGAGGCAGGGAGAAAGTGAAAAGTCACTGAGGAAGGCGGAGGAGTATCTGAGAATAGAAAAACAGCGCAGAGGCAGGGATGGGCATGGGCAGCAGAACTCGAGTGAATAGTACCGAAGGCAGCTGGCACTGTCTCGGTAGGGACGGGGACTTGGAGCAAAATGTCTGGTGAACTCACAGCCAGCTCATGATTATCTGGCAGCTTTTCGGAGACAGCCTACCGAGCCCTGCCCGTCCCACCTGGGGTGGAAGAGCCACTGTCTCAGTCGGGACCACCGGTTCTGCTCAGAGGCAGCCCCATAATTAGCTCTATGACCTTGGACCGCACGTTCAGCATGACTGAGTCTCGCCTGTGAAATGAGAGAGTTGGATCTTCACTCTCCCAGATGGAGCGTCGTAACATCAGACACAACTCTCAGCCGACGGTTTGATAGCCTTCTCTTCATCGACATCATCACATTATATATCGATCAAGGACTTGCCCCAGGCCAAGTTCTATGCTGTCCAATCGACATATATCAGCCCACTTCATCCTTAAGCCAACCCTATTATCAAGGCAGAGTCAGACAGCCTGGGTTTGAGTCCTGCGCAACCTTGGAAAAGTGCCTTAACATCTCAGAGCCCAGGTCTTCTCATCTTGGAAAGTTTAAGTTAAATGTCTATGGTCATGTGGCCAGTAAAGGGTAGAAAATGGATTTAGACTCATCTAGGTGACTTCAGAGCCACTTAGCCTGTCTTTCCTCTGGGGACCCATGTTATCATTTCTCCAAAACAAGGATGGAC